TCCTTTTAAAATTTGTGTGTCACTTAGAGATAAAATACGCTTTTAATTTAATGTAAATTAAGTTAATGTCAGGCCACGATATTCCTCCAGTCAATGATTTTATTTAATTTTTTCTTTTATCTCTTATTGCTAATACTGATAAACCTGGGCATCATTTATTTAAATGCTTTACAAACGTGACTGCGTATAGAAAATATTCGTTTTGAAATTCGGTTACAGACGCGAATGCCTGCTCTTCGTTCGATTCAATTTGCTTTTTTTCAATTGCATTCATTAAATATTTGCACTCTTGTTCAACCATTGAGAAGTCAAGAGAAACCAATGGCATTGATTGATTTTTTACGGTTTATCAACCGTTTTCAGGTTATTAAAACCGAAACATATTTTCGGGTTGTAAGTTTGAAGCTAAGAAAGACAGACGAAAACAACGCAAAACATACTTAATGGGCTTTATTAAATGGATGGAGCAACGAGTTTTAGGGTGATAAAACGGGATAGCATTTATTAAGAGGACAGAGAATTATGGCGAGCTATGATCGGCAAGTCCCTGAAAGAACACGGCATATGGAAAAATAGATTTTTTTCCTTCAGCGAATATTTCGTTAGCAATAATTATAAGATCAAAATGATTGTTCTACTTACAATTTCTATTATTTAACCCATAACAAAGATTCATAACATTCCCAAGGGTAATTTGCGCCTAAATAAATATAAGCGACTCGGCTTGAATGTGAACTTGGCTGTCAGATTTCCTATGCTTGGAGAAACAGAGAGTAATCCGATTAAAATTTTCCGGGAAAATGATTTAACAAAATACTACAACTCCAAGGATTTACAATCGGCGATCATAACCTTAACAAAGTAACATACGTAGTAACTCTATACTGATGGAAGACTTAAATACACATGGTAACTAAAGAAACGGAAGCACTATTTCAGCTATTGCTCAGACACGGAAGTACTGTGTCGGCCATATTGTGTATGTGTGAATTAAAAAAATCCCAGGAGAATCGCTTTTGAGGACAGACACCACTAGACTAAATTGCGTTGTCGTTGTTATTACAGACTCTAACTTTACCAGTCGGCATTCACTTTCCAAGCAGATTGTAATACTGTCGTTTGCAATGTTACAAATCTTTCTCCAGATAATTATTCAGGAAAATAGATTTCTCAAGCCCAATATCTGTTATCGCTCTTTCCAGTATTAATAGGAGTTTGCTTCCTAATATTTCATTTTAAGTAGTGCAGCATGTCAACGACTTGCTTATATCATTATGTTCTCTTCGAGATAGATCAATTGGCACCTGTTTTCGCGAGTCGACAGCAAGTACTGCTTTACTGCATGCGATAAAACCATAATGACAGGTAAGGTTATCTTTGAGAGGATCAGCATATTGCCAACTTTCTTTAATATTTGCACGCAGTTGATCCCGATGTTCAAGTCGGCCTTTCTCAAACCTTTGCATAGATGAGAAGCAGGACATGCACCAGCTCTGAAGATTGAGATTTTCTTTGAAATGCAACAGTAATCTTCCTTCTGGACCTGCTTGTTAGAAGCTGGCCAAAGGTAAGTTTTTTCTTTTATGTCTGCTATACCCTCATACGAGAAAGACGTCCTGGCCTCCGGAGTTGGGTTTTCATATATAGCTTCATTTTTGCATGTAGGCAGAACTTCAGTGTTCCTAATACGATCAACTCAGTTTCATATTGCTGATCGTAGATAGGAAACACACGAGGAGGGCATCGAGGTCATTGATGCGCCGTCGGTACAGTGTCCAGGATTCTGCACCATAGAATAGGATGAAAATACTACCGATATGTATACATCAATTTTCAAATTTAACAAAACGCCACGGATATTCCAAAGCCTGTGATAAAGATTACTGAAGGCAGAGTTAGCATTTTTATTGCTGCATTCAATTTATATATATACAACTAGAAAATATCAGTATAATAATAAGTAGACACAATATGTTTATATAAATCAATGAAACATTTTGAATATATAAATACACACACACAGATGTTCAAAAATGTTTCATTGATTTATATAGACATATTGTGTCTACTTATTATACTGATCATTATAATAAGTAGACACAATGTGTCTATAAAAATCAAAAAGAAATATTTTTAAATAATAAATGAAACATGTTTGAATATATATATATATATATATATGAAAATCAATGAAACATGTTTGAATATATATATATATATATATATATATATATATATATATAAATCAATGTCATAGGTTTGTATATATATATATATATATATATATATATATATATATATAGATAATATTAGTGGAAAATATACATACATATGAAAAATATATCTCAAAAAATTCCCATACATGTATATTTTCAGAAAAAATTTTCCAAGAGGAAGGATCCAGGTAGAACTCAATGTCTAGGACAGAGTAAGGATATAATAAAAGGCTTAAACACTAATATTCCATAGGACCATAATTTCAAAAATTTGAATTTGTAAATACGATCCATTTGGATCAGATTTACAAATTCCAATTGGAATTTAAATTATGACAATGGAATATTAGTGTTTGTTTTTTATTATATATATATATATATATATATATATATATATATATATATATATATATATATATATATATATATATATATATATATATATATATATATATATTCTAACATCTTTGATTGATTTATATAGATATATTGTGTCTACTTTTTTTTATTATACAGATCCTTTCTATTTGTTTTATCATTTTTTTTTTTATGTTAAGATGAAAATCATTAAGGATGGTGCCATAGTTGTTGTTAACCCAGGTACATTCGATATTTTCTAAGATAATCTGCAAAAGTAAATTAAAAAGACAATTGTATTGGAACTGTAATGAAATCCACATTCCGTTCCGTTGTGGTGTTTTTTTTCCATACGCGACCTATCTTTACGTTATCTGTCTGTATACCAGACTAATAACATTGTGATATATAAAGATTTGATTTGAATTTTGCATCATTTTGATATATGGTATGGAAGTTGTCGTATGATAAACGACTCAACTATAACTGATAATGTCCTAACACCATAATTCACATCTTTTCTCAAGCGTATTTTCGCGTAAGCGAAGATATCGAACCCGACTGGAATTGGAACTCGGTTCGCCGATATCTGAATCCTAGCCGCTGTCCTTTATACCACCCGAACATCGAAACTTAAAAAAACCTGATATTCCCAAGCGGTTATCCATCTCGGTACTGGCCAGACTCAACGCTGCTTAACTTCAGTGATCTGTACATCTGCAGTATTCCAAACTGATCTGTGCTTAAGCTATTTATACCCACAGCACATTCAAGTTTAAAATACCTGGTATTCTCAGCAGTTACCCATCTCAGTGCTCACCATTTTGGACGTTGCCTGGCTTCGATGATCGTTCCTGAATTTCAACGTGATCTGAGTATGAATTGGGTGTAGGATTCCCCTAGTTTCATTAATGATCAGGTTAATGCCTACTCAGACATTTTCGTTTTTAATCAGTATCCCCGCCTCAAGGAAGGCAGTACAGCCACTAAGACGCAAATAATTAGGAAAAGAAGCATCCGTAAAATACGAGAGAGAAAAAAAGACCTATCAGGAGGACAGTAGATAGCGAAACAGTCTAGGTATTATAGCGAAGAGCTCATCCGAACAATTAACATGCAAGTATTTATAAGACAGCCACAAAAAGGCAACCTTACGGCGGTGGGCAAGTGACTGAAACCGAGGCGCGAGTTCAGGACCAATAATATTGCTGAATCTTATTTGAATCTCATCTAGGAGCTCCAGGAAAATAGTCTGGGCATCGGACTATATATGGCAGCCATAGTCTAAGCATGGACGAATGGTAGACTTATAGATATGCAAGATAGATTCCGGAGAGAAAAAAATGTTCCGCTCGTCATTGTGAAGCGACGTTCTTAGCAGTTGACCTAGGATTGGATTCAATAAAGTCTTTCCACTTCATATCAGCTGAGAATATTAGCCAGAGAAGTCGCAACGAGTCACTTTCCCAGGGGATAGCATCAGCCATGCTTGACCGAAGGAAGAGGGTGTTCTTTCTGATGATTAATTTTCTTCTTTTTTTTTTTTAATCATAGCGACTTGACTAGCACATCAAATCTATAGGCTAGAATGTCCGTTGCCCGAGTAAAACTCTAAAAGTGTTCTCTTTAATAAGGTAAGTAATATAGCACAATTGTTTGTATATTTATATTTCTATGTGAAAGTAATTTGGATTTCATTTTCTCTGTTTGGGGAAAATTACTTCGGAGATTATAAAGAAAGACATTCATCTGAAAACTTTTGTTTTTCCCAGATTAATCTCAAGCCAAAATGACGAGATTTATAATGAAAAACGGGAAAAAAAGGCAAAGCAGTCACTAAATTCCATTGGAGATTTGTTATATCATTTGAGAGCAGGTTTTAATGAACGCAAGATAAGCCGCTCAACAGGGCAAGGGTAATGAGATCGGAAATAGATCAGTCAGATTAATTACCTGGAGACAGATCAGTTTCTAACGAATAATTAATTTTAAAGGTCATTGACTGACCTCTGTGAATTTAATTTACAAAACTCTACACTGACGCAGTTTATCGACTCTATTTGAAGTTAATATTCAACATTAGACAACAGCCATATAACATAAGAAACTTATTATAAACTGAAAGGCGGAGCCCTAACAATATGTTTGACAGACTGGAAAAATCAAACCCACGTTGATATTAGATTATTCAGTTCACATTTGGATTGTTAACTGGGAAAAGGCCGGTGCACGTCCCCAACAGAAAGAAAGATGAAACTAACGTCACGACTAGAAATGAAACCTGAATCGGGTTTTAAATATATTTATAAAAAAAAAGAAAAAATTGCGAATCGACTTGACATAGTCTTGGGAGGATAGGTAGATAAATTCTTCCGGTACACTGCCAACTGACGAACGGCCAGGTCTTACATACGACTAGTGAGAACA